TGAGTCTTAAAGGCAGGAGGGAGAAGTGCCTCCTTCTCTTATTTCATCTTTCTTTCTTGTCCTCCTCCCTCCATTTTTTAGAAAATTTATAGAGGTTGTATTACAATCATGCCTCAAGCTCACACACTGTAAATGTGCAGTTCAATGAGCCTTAGCAAATTTATCCAGTTGTGTAAATGTTACCATTAAGCAGCTTTATAACACCTCCATCACCCCCAAAAGTCCCCTGGACTCTATTTGGAGTCAATCCCTCCTCCTTTCCCAGCCCCCAGCAACTACTGATCTGCTTGCTGTCTCTCTAGTTTGGCCTTTTCTAGAAACTGTATAAAATGAATCACATACCAAGTAGTCTTTGGCATCTGGCTTCTTTCACTTTGCATAACGTGTCTGCATGTACCATGGTTTGTCCCCTCCATCTTTTATTATTATTTGAGACAGGGTCTTGTAGCCCTGTCTACAAGGTTGAAGTGCAGTGGCGTGATCATGGCTCACTGCAACCTTGACCTCCTAGGCTCAAGCGATCCTCCTACCTCAGCCTCCTGAGTAGCTGGGACCACAAGGACACCTCACTACACAGGGCTAATCTTTTAAGTTTTTTGTAGAGACAGGGTCTTGCTATGTTGCCCAGGCTGAACATGAGCTTCTGGACTCAAGCGGTCTGCCTCCCTTGGCCTCCCAGAGGGCTGGGATTACAGGCATGAGCCACCATACCTGGCCCTTTTGTTAAACTATTTATTTATTTATTTATTTATTTTTGAGACAGAGTCTTGCTCTGTTGCCCAGGCTGGAGTGCAGTGGTGCCATCTTGGCTCACAGCAACCTCCGCCTGCTGGGTTCAAATGATTCTCGTGCCTCAGCCTCCCCAGTAGCTGGGACTACAGGTGTCCACCACCATGCCCAGCTAATATTTTTGTATTTTTAGCAGAGACGGAGTTTCGCCATGTTGGCCAGGCTGGTCTCCTCCTGACCTCAAGTGATCCACCCTCCTCAGCCTCCCAAAGTGCTGGAATTACAGGTGTGAGCCACCGTGCCCGGCCCTTTTATTTGTTGACTTACTTTTGTCTCTCTCTTTCACACACACACATACTCAAACACACTCATGCACACACAATTTTCTCACTAACCCTCTCTGACCTTTTTTCACTACAAGTCCTGACTTGGTCTTTGGGCCCTAAGATGCAATTAAGAAAGAGTGGAGCCCACACCCAGTTCGGTCCTAAGTGGGTACCTACGGGGCAGCCACCAACCAGCCTGCCCCAGCCCATGGGGGCCCAGGATGTCTCATTCCCAGTGATGGTGAAAGGAGGGAGAAGCGGAGGTGAGGTGGGGGTTGTGAGATGTGCTTCCCTCTCCCTGGAGCTTGAGACCCTCAGCCTCTGACCAAGGAAAGTGAAATAAGCATGGGCGAAGCTGGGAGAATAGAGTCAGTTTACTGAATGAATATATGTCTCAATTCCACTCAGGGTGGAGTGGAGCCTGGCAGGCACCCTCAGCAGTGGGACCCCAGGCTGCTGGACCTGCCAGGGCTGCTGGGTCCCCTGGGGCTCCTGGGCTGAGGGGCAGCAGCAGGCCAGCCTGCCAGGAGCTCCCCAGTCTTAGGCTGCTTCACCTGTGCTGTCTGGGACTAGACTGGTCGCTGTGGCTGCCCAGAGATGCTCAAGCCAGACCCCAAAAGAGAGTGACACAAGGTGAAAATGGTAACTGTGAACACTTTGGTTTCAGTTTCAGTAAAGAGAAGGAGGGAGGGAGGCACTTGGGGACACAGAAAGAACGGCTGGCGGGAGAGGGCTCTGCCGAGCTCCGCGGTCAGCTTCCTTGCTAGACGACCCGGCTTTGAGAAACGCCACTTTCATTGTCTCCCAACTCAGAATCTGGAAGGCAAGAAGATGTCTCAGGCTGGAGAGCCGAGGCACACTGTGGGGTCTGTCACAGGGGGCACGGCACTGTTGCTCCTTCTCCCACCCCAGCCCCGAGGGCCAGCCACCCAGAGGGCCACAGTGCGTGGAACAGTGTGGGGAACAGAGACATGCAGCCTCGTGCTGGGGAATCTGCACACTGCCCATTGGGGTTTCAGCCACACCAGGGAAGCTGGGCCATAAGCTTCCCCCAAAGACAGCATTTGGTCATCTCCACGTCCCCACATAGCCTGGCACAGCCCTTATTTGCAGGCTGAATAGTTGTGGGGGCCATTGCCTCCTCTCAAGGTAAGGACTTCCGTGAACCCCCACTTCCTAATTTGGCAGGGAAGGGGGAATGAACTGACCTAGGTGTTTAAGGAGTCTTTCAGAGATCAATGGCTGAAGGCAGAGGGACAAGTGATAAGAGGGGGAAAGGGAGGGAGAGCAAGAGGCACTGGGGTGGTAGTGCAGTCCAAGTGGAGAAGGTGGAGTTAGGGGGGGTCTCCTTTATTCTTTATTCTTGGGGGAAATTCTTGTTCAAATATGTTTCTTTTCCCCTTGGCTCGAATGAATGCTCCCTGACAATTTAGAAACAGTTTCGGCCAGGTGCAGAACACACCTGTAATCCCAGGACTTTGGAAAGCCAAGGCAGGTAAATCACTTGAGTTCAGGAGTTCAAGACCAGCCTGGCCAACATGGCAAAAACCCGTCTCTACTTAAAATACAAAAAAATTAGCTGGGTGTGGTGATAGGTGCGTGTAATCCCAGCTGCTCAGGAGGCTGAGACAGGAGAATCACTTGAACTTGGGAGGCAGAGGCTGCAGTGAGCTGAGATCGTGCCACTGCACTCTAGCCTGGGCAACAGAGCAAGACTTTGTCTCAAAGAAAGGGAAAGGAAAAAAGTTTCTACCTATTGAGGAAGAAATTGTGCAGGGAGTAGGAGCAAGTGACATCCCTCAATCCAACCCGGACCCTGAGCTGCCCCATTCCCTCACCCATCCTGTGCTTTCTCCAAAGGTCAGTAGCCTTGACTGGGTGTTTGGGGAGGCACTCTGGTCCAGCCTTTGGCCAAGGGCGCTCACTCCCTTCCCTGTTCCTGTCCCTGTCCTCATCTGTTTGCGTATCTGCAGAAGGTACTCCCCCCACCCCATGCCCCACCTTGTCTTGGTGACACTGAGAAGTTATTTGTGCCAATGGGAAGCAGCTGTCTGGGTGCTGGCTCTGGGCACACACACCTGGGACTCTCCCCAGCTGCCTTAACCTTGGTTCCACTTGTGGCATTGTGTGAGGCTTTGGTTTTCACGTGCAGGGGAGGGGGTTCTGGTCAGCAGGCTGGCATGGGCACCACAGCCACAAAGAAGCTGGCACCTCTCTGTGCCACCTGTGTGCCCTGATGTGTTGCCCTTTTTCCTCCTGTGTACCTGAACCAAGCTAGGGTAGCAGGTCACAGCGGTGACTCAGCTCTGGCAACCCATATTAACAAAGTGCTGCCAACCAGGTAAGTCATGCCAGGATGCCAGGGGACCAAAGGAGTGTGGCCCACTGGGGAGGCTGGATGTCCGTGGCTCTCTGGCTCTTGACTTGAGAATGGCTCTGGCGGGAGGCCAGGCCAGGACTGCGACTGGCCAGCACCCCAGGATGATCCCTCTTTGCTGGGTTCTGCTTGGCCTCAGCTGCGCCTACCGGTGTGTGCAGAACTGGGGGCAGGTGGAGAGGGCCTGGGCTTTCAGGGGAGAACTGGCTGTCCCCACCTTGGGGCTGAGAGCGGCGGGGGAGGGGTGGTGATGGCGTGGATCCTCTAGCAGGTCCCAGCCCCCCGAGGAAGGATGGCAAATGAGTGGGGGTCCCTCCCTCCGTGGGACCATTTGTCTCGGAGCAGTACGGGAGGGCGACAGGTTCCCTGGCTCCCGTCGGTGAAGACTCTTTTTGGAGCACTATCCCAGGGATGCTCTTCTGCCATCCGGAAACATCGGTCTCCCCTGGAGCCTGGGCTCAGAGGCCAGGGTGTCCCAAGCCCAGGCTCCAGGGTGTGCTGGGAAAGGCTCGGTCCTGCTCGGCGCGGCCCGCCTTGGGCACTAGGGGTCGCCCCTGCCCAGCGGAAGCCACGCGGGCGCGCCCGGCCGCCGCAGGTTTCCCCGAGCGGGAAGAGCGAGGCGCCTCCGGGGCGGGGCTGGGGAGGGGGTTCCTGGGCGCGGCGCCGGGACCCTGCCCGGTCCTCTCGGCCGCGGCTGGACGGAGCAAGTGGCCACAGCGCCCGGGCCGGGCTCCCTGTCGCGCCCTTTCCGGAGCGGGAGGCCCTCGCCGAGGCCGAGCCTGGGACGCGCTGGGCGGGCGGCGGCGCGGAGCCGCGGGACCGAGGCACAGGGCGTTTTCCCCGGAGGTGCGGCGTGCGCCCGCGACACAAAGGTCTTTTAAAGACCTAGCCGCGCCCTTCCCGGCTGCGGAGGCGGGAGCAGCAGCTGCGCCCGCCCGAGGGACGAGGCCGGGGTCGGGGGCGGCCGAGCGACGGGGCGCTGGCCTCGCCGGGATCTCCGCGGTTGCGCCCGGGCAGCGACCCCAGAGCTCCTTTTGTGAGCGGAAGGCGGGGCCCTCCCCGGGCTCTGAAAATGGTCAGTTCGGCTTCGCAGGGCTGCGTGCCCAGAATAATCAATTGGTTTCTCTGGGGTAGTAATCCGGGCCCCACCCCGTGCAGCTTTGAGCGGGTTCGCGCCTTCTAGGCGGGACCCCTGGGGGTTCCCAAAAGCACCCCCGCGGCCAGCTGTGTCAGGACCGCCGGGGTCCGTGTGAACACGATTCCAGGGCCCCACCCCATCGCCTGAAGCAGAATCTCTGGGCGGGGTCCAGGAATCCGAGTTTTTGGTGAGTTTCCGGGTGATTCTGATGGTAAATCCCAGGTGGGAGCCACCGTTCTAACGCCTTTTGGGACAGGCAGTTGAGAAATTTTCCCCAGATGAATCTTTGGGGACCCAGCTGTCACACCCCCCTCGATTCACTGCAGTGTCGATTATCCCTGCTGATGAAGTTCTTCCCGAGTCTGACTTCGAGCCCGCCTGCTTTAGTTAAGCACGTTTTTCTCCAGTCGGGTTTTTTTTTTTTTTTTTTATGGAAAAAGGAACAGGGAGAAGACGTTTCTCGAACCTGTTTGCAGAAAGCCGTCTCGCCTGCTTTGAGGGTCCTTTCTCGGGAGACCTGTTTGCTTTGTTCAACCTCTGAATTCAGCAGACCCACCTGATTGGCTGAATGGAGAGGAAATCCACCAAGGCCACTAGTGTGAGTGAATGTGGTCCCTCCAGGTAAGGGCCAGACAGCGCCTGCCAGGACTTGGGAAGGGTTTTCTTAAAGGAATCCTGGCAGTAAAAAAAAAAAAAAAAGAAAAAAAACCAACCCCCAGACTCTCCAAGGGCTGGACGCTGGAGAATCCCAGCAAGGAAAAGGAATATATCTTATCTCATGCCGGAAGATAACCTCTTCCCTTTGTTGGCGCTTTTCCTTGCTTTCAGGATGAATTAAAATTCTTATCTGCTCGGCATCCAGTGAACTTGGCCTCGCCTTCCTGATTGTTTGCTGTGGCTGACTTTCCCAAGCTTTGTGGGGTTGTTTTTGCCTCTGGGTGGTGGTCATTCCTTCCCAGGCATTAGGTTCAACACAGTCACAGAAAAAGAGAAATTTAGCAAACACCCCCAAAATGGCAGGACCGACCCCCAAAACCTACTTTCATTTTCTTCCATTCTGGGTTGTGGGTAATTTCTTGACAACTATGAGAAAGAAGACAGCGAGAAATGAATTGTTTTTCCAATGCAATTGTGAACAGATGTATAACCTCCTAGCTGCAGGGACGTTCTAGGAATCCCTTACGCCACCTTAAAGGGCCGGGGAAATGGGCGGAGGTGCTGAGGGCTGGATGGGTGCTCAGCGTTGACTGGGCTCAGCCTCATCCTAACGAGAGCTGCAGCCATAACCTGGGTCACCTTTGCTGTCTCGGGCTTCTAAATTTGGCAGTGAGAACAGGCTTGCTTCCTTTGAGCAATTGATCTGAATAGCAGAATCTCATTCTGATGGTCCGAATCACATTTACAGGCTGTGGGGGTGAAGGCCTTGCTAATTGGCCACTTGCCTCACCACTGGCTTTGAAACAATCGCTTGCATTCTCTGCCCGGCAGGAAGCAGCAGACCCATCAAGGCCCTGGGCTCGCTCTTTGTTCTGACTTCATGGCATTTTATGCCACAATAAGAAACACTGTGTACTCCATGGGAGCCCATTGTGCCAGGCTGCAAGGATGTGGGCTCCGGTGCGGAGGGCCTGGTCCTCTTCCCCAGGAAGAAGAGGGGCTTTGTGACAGGCTGGGGGGACAAAACAAGGGGTGCTGGACACTGTTACTGGGGCAACTGCCTGGCCAGTGTGGAGGCAGCTTTAGTCGCTGGGTCCTCTTCTGTGCCCAAGGAGGGGGGGGCAGGAGAAGGATGGAATTTCGTCTAGAGTAGCAGGTCCTGGTTAGCTGGTTAATTATGCATCAGAGGCCGGGCGCGGTGGCTCAAGCCTGTAATCCCAGCACTTTGGGAGGCTGAGGCGGGTGGATCACGAGGTCAAGAGATCGAGACCATCCTGGTCAACATGGTGAAACCCCGTCTCTACTAAAAATACAAAAAAAAAATTAGCTGGGCATGGTGGCGCGTGCCTGTAATCCCAGCTACTCAGGAGGCTGAGGCAGGAGAATTGCCTGAACCCAGGAGGCGGAGGTTGCGGTGAGCCGAGATCGCGCCATTGCACTCCAGCCTGGGTAACAAGAGCGAAACTCCGTCTCAAAAAAAAAAAAAAAAAAGAAAAAAAAAATTATGCATCAGGACTGGGCTAGCCACTGCCTCCGTTTCTCTGGGCTACCGAGACAACCTCCACCTGCCTCTAGATTCCATGCCAGCTGATCGTGTCTATCTCACCAACTCTTGTTCCACCAGGAAACGGCATCTTGGTGAGTGGGAAGTTTTTCTAACTGGACCAAACCTGGGCTTCCCATGTTTTGGGTTTATCTGCTTTGCTCCTTGGAGGAAAGAGCTTTTGGTTTTGTAGAAATGTTGTAGATGGGGGCTGGGGTAGCCACAGTCCATGCAGCCCTACCCATGAATGAAGCAGGGGGATTGGAGAATGGCTTCTAGACCCTACCTGCCTCTCCGGCCAGCCCCTGGGCTCCCCTCCCCTGCATCTAGCCTGAAGTTTTTCACCATTAACGGCACACCTGGGACAGAAGACAGAGGCGGGCCCTCACTTCAGGAGATTGCTGTAATAATCAGAGACAAGACCTGGGCTGGGAAGGAAGCCCAGGACACAGGGGATGGGGGACGGGCCCTGACAAATGGAGTGTTGTGCGTGGGTGCTGAAAGGGAAGGAGGAAAGGAAAGGCAAGGCCATTTAGCTTCACCTCGAAGGTGGGGTCACGTGAGGCTGGTGGGTCCTGTCTTCTCTGGAGATGTTCCCAACAAGCATCTGAAGGGAGGAAAAGCCAGCTTCCTGCTGGCCACTTGCAGAGGCGAACATTCAGTGCTTCCACCAGCCTGTCCCTCACCCGGGGCCCACCCCTGTCCTTCCCATGTCTAATGCTCCCCACGCAGGCCCCTTTTTTTACCCCACGCCATTGCAGCAGCCTCCTGGCTGGTTTCTTTCCCGTCTAACCCACCCTCCACATGGCTGCCCAAATTTTCCCCAAAAATCTTGGCCAAGTTCTCCCCCAAAAAGGCCACATCTCCCGGCCTGCCAATCCCAGGCTGGAAACTGTCCCATGGTCTCCAGAGCTGCTCACAAACCCTTCCTGCCCCACTCCCTGCCTGACCTCAGGCTCATCCTCCGTCCTCCCTGGCCACACAGCTCCTTGACTTTCCCCAGACATGCAAGTCTTGCCATGTTTCTGTGCATTTCCATCTCCCTCTGCATGGAATTCTCTCTTCTGCCACACCTACCCTTGCCCATCTGCCAGACCCTCCAGGATTCAGGGTAAATGTCATCCCCACGGTGGATCCAGTGATGAGAGCAGTAATGGAAGCAGCTTTGCCACCCGGCTCCCAAAGAAGTGGGAACACTGACTGCAAAGGGCACAATCTGATTAGATTAAAAGCGAGGCCTCAGAAGCATTGGCGCGTGTCCCTGGAGAGCCTGGCTGGAGGTCTGTCCTAGAGGAGGTGTGGAAGGGGGGGCAAAAATGGTGGCTCCCCATTTCCCCTGACTGTGTTCTGTGTTCCCCACATTGGACTCAACCTTCCATTACAACACAGACACGTTTGTGGACACTCTTGGTTACATGTGTTCTGCCCTTAGACTCTGTGTCTCTTCTAGGAAAGGAGTGTCTTAATCATCTTTGTATTCCCAGAGGCTAGCACTTAGTAGGCTTGCAGAAAATCTTTGAATAGAGGCTGAGGTGGGAGGATTTCTTGGGACCAGGAATTCAAGTCCAGCCTGGTTAAACTGGCAAGACCCCATCTCTAAAAAAATAAAAATAAAAAATTAGCCAGGCATAGTGGTGCACGCATCCCAACTACTCAGGAGGCTGAGGTGGGAGGATCACTTGAGCTGAGGCATTTGAGGCTGCAGTGAACTGTGACCCCGCCAGTGAACTCCCGCCTGGGCAACAGAGCAACACCCTGTCTCAAAAGAAGAAAGAAAATCGTTGAGTAAATAAATATATGTTGAACTTGGAAGTATTCCTTTACCTAGAGTATTCTTCTCTCTGCAAATTTTGTACTATCACTTTCTCCAAAACATAACTCAGGACTTGCCTCGTAGAAAAACTAGGTTCTGATTCAGCAGTTGACTATGCATCAGAAACTTACTGAGCAACTATTAGGTACTAGGCATTTTCTTTCTTTTTTTTTTTTTTTTTTGAGACGGAGTTTCGCTCTTGTTACCCAGGCTGGAGTGCAATGGCGCGATCTCGGCTCACCGCAACCTCCGCCTCCCGGGTTCAGGCAATTCTCCTGCCTCAGCCTCCTGAGTAGCTGGGATTACAGGCACACGCCACCATGCCCAGCTAATGTTTTGTATTTTTAGTAGAGACAGGGTTTCACCGTGTTGACCAGGATGGTCTCGATCTCTTGACCTCGTGATCCACCCGCCTCAGCCTCCCAAAGTGCTGGGATTACAGGCGTAAGCCACCGCGCCCGGCCTGGTACTAGGCATTTTCTAGGTACTGGAGGCCTGTGAGATACAAAAGGTTAAAGGTCCCATGCCCAGTTGTTGATGAGTGCCCCCAACCCATGCAGGCCACTTCCTTAACTGGCAATCATTTGGCACATCTGTAATCAGTGCTCCTGGCATCCATAGTGCCAGGGATGTGGTCAGCAGTCCTATGTGACTCACTGTGTGCCCAGCACCATGACAGACAGGCATGGCCTGGCTTTGCATTCAAATAGCTCACAACTTCATTTAGGAAACGAATTTTTTTTTTCTTTTTTTTCTTTTCTTTTTTTTTTTTTTTTTTGAGACAGTCTCGCTCTGTCACTAGGCTAGAGTGCAGTGGTGAGATCTTGGCTCACTGCAACCTCTGCCTCCTGGGTTCAAGTGATTCTCCTGCCTCAGCCTCCTGAGTAAGCTGGGACTACAGGTGCATGCCACCACACCTGGCTAGTTTTTTGTATTTTAGTAGAGATGGGGTTTCACCATGTTGGCCAGGCTGGTCTCAATCTCCTGACTTCGTGATCCTCCTGCCTCTGCCTCCCAAAGGGCTGGGATTACCAGTGTGAGCCACTGCGCCTGGCCTGACCAATTGTTGCTTTATGGAATTGCAGGAAGCCCCAGCTAGGGAAGAGCTTATGTTGTCAATTTCACAGCATCTAAGAATTCACTGGGTCCACTAGTTCTCTTGCATAGGTGCTACTTTCCAGTTATTTCCTGGTTTTATAAATGCGTGTCTCCTCTTTCAGCACCTTCACAAGCTCCTTAAGGAAAGGGATGTCATGGTGTCATGCCTAGTAGCTTCTTTCCCTGATCCTCATCTCAGCACCTGGTATAGGGCAGTGCATGAACGGATGAAAATGATCACCATTAACAGGCATTTGTCAGCTGGGCGCGGGGGCTCACAACTGTAATCCTAGCACTTTGCGAAGTCAAGGTGGGCAGATCACCTGAGGTCAAGAGTTTGAGACTAACCTGGCCAACATGGCAAAACCCCGTCTCTACTAAAAATACGTATATTAGCCAGGTGTGGTGGTGCACACCCTTAGTCCCAGCTACTAAGGAGGCTGAGGCAGGAGAATCGCTTGAACCCAGGAGGTGGAGGTTGTAGTGAGCTGAGATTGTGCCACTGTACTACAGCCTGGGTGACAGAGCAAGACTCTGTCTCAAAACCCAAAAAGCAACAAAAAAAGAAAAACAAAACAAAACGAAAACCAGGCATCTGTCACTAGGTCTCTTAATGAGACAGCCAAGAAACATAATGTGAGTGAGTCCTCTGGTTCTTGTAGATAAAGGAGAGGAAAGGAGGGCTTCTCTTCCAACTTAGCGCCTCTCTCTTGCTAAATGTTACCTGCCAGATCTGAGTGTTTTCTACAAGGAATTACTGAAATGCAAATCCAGAGGTGTGAATTTAAGAAGAGCCAGTTGGTTTCCTACTTTCATTTGGGTACTTTTTTTTTTTTTAACTTGAAACAGGGTTTTGCTCTGTTACCCAGGCTGGAGTGCAGTGGCACAATCACAGCTCAGTGCAGTGTCAACCTCCCCAGGCTCAAGTGATCCTCCCACCTCAGCCTCCAAAGTAGCTGGGACTACATTCATGTGCCACCATGCCCGGCTAATTTTTTTTTTTGTGTGTGATGGAGTTTTGCTCTTGTCACCCAGGCTGGAGTACAATGGCGTGAGCTTCATTCACTGCAACCTCCACCTCCCAGGTTCAAGTGATTCTCCTGCTTTGGCCTCCCCAGTAGCTGGGATGACAGGCACCCACCACCTCACCTACCTAACAATGGTGCGATCTCGGCTCACCGCAACCTCCGCCTCCTGGGTTCAGGCAATTCTCCTGCCTCAGCCTCCTGAGTAGCTGGGATTACAGGCACGCACCACCATGCCCAGCTAATTTTTTTTTGTATTTTTAGTAGAGATGGGGTTTCACCATGTTGACCAGGATGGTCTCGATCTCTTGACCTTGTGATCCACCCGCCTCGGCCTCCCAAAGTGCTGGGATTATAGGCTTGAGCCACCGCGCCCGGCCATTTTTGTATTTTTAATAGAGTCGTTGCCCAGGCTGGTCTTGAACTCATGGGCTCAAGCACTCTGCCTGCCTTGGCCTCCCAGAGTAATGGGATTACAGGCATGAGCCACCACACCTGGCCTGGCCTGGGTGCCTTTTAACTGGTTATCTATCTGTACTGTTATTGCTCGGTAGTCTAAGTGGGTGAGATCAATTTCAGAATTTCTCCAGTTAAATGTGTGCTTGTGGTGAGAGCAGAGTGTCCCTGGTCCCTCCTGCTGCTTTTTGCTCTGGTTCCCAGCTTGTGTCTGGTGCAACTTCTTCTTTGTCCAGGACAGATTTACTGGAAGTTTCTTTAGAGTCAGTGCTTTAGGGCTGTGGTCTTCATCCGGGGGCTGTACTGTTTGTCGCCTTCTCATGCTTGCTTTGCAGGCCTGGTGGCTAATGTTGCTTGCATCGGCTTGCTGCTATTGGGGCCATCTGTAACCTATGTCAACTCCGGATGTTTTGAAGTTCAATGTGCAATAAAAAGTTCATTAAAATATGTGGAATCATGAAAATAAGGTTACAGAAATGTTAACAAAGGATAATTTCCTGCTTCTTGTACTTTTCCTTTTTTAAAAATGTATTTCTCTGAGAAATTTATGTCACCATTAAAACCATGGAAGAGTTTAGGAAGGACACGCCTGGGTCAAGGAGGGTGATTCTTGAGGAGGTATCTTGGCAGAGCCCCAGCCAGTTTTCTTAATTGAGAGCTCAGGGTTTAAAGGGAGAATTTAAGCCAAAAATCTAGGTTTCTTATAACTAACGGTTTGAATCCAGTATTTTTTTTTTTTTTTTTTTTTTTTTTTTTGAGACAGTCTCACTCTGTCCCCCAGGCTGGAGTGCAGTGACACAATCTCAGCTCACTGCAACCTCTGTCTTCTGGGTTCAAGTGATTCCCTGCCTCAACCTCCCAAGTAGCTGGGATTACAGGCATGCGCCACCATAACCAGCTAATTTTTTTGTATGTTTAATATAGACAGGGTTTCACCATGTTGGCCAGGCTGGTCTCAAACTCCTGACCTCAAGTCATCTGCCTAGCTCGACCTCCGAAATTGCTGGGATTACAGGCGTGAGCCACCGTGCCTGGTCCTAGCATTTTAAACAGGATGACTGTCAATGGATGGAAGCAGCCCATGATTGTGCAGGGTCTACAGCCAGGTAAGGAATTACATGTGTAATGACATATGGCAGATGTCTCTTGTCCATGTGAAGTGGCTGGGGAGGAAGAGAGGAGAGAAGAAAGTAAAGAGAAGGAAAGGTCATAGGGTGCCTCGTGGAACCATCAGTGGCTTGTCCACTGCCACACTGGCTCACTTTCCAGTCATGACCTTCTGGCATGAGCAGGGGTCAAGAGCCAAGCCTCAAGGGTATCCTAGGATCCGAAACCCTGCCAGTAGACCAGCCCCTGGCATGAGCTTAGGGTAAGGGCAGTAACCCGTCCTCACAGTACCCCTGCCTGGCCAGCCACAGAGAGGCATTTGACAAAGAGGAAAGTCCCTTGGAGCTCAAGGTGCTGATTTGACAATGACCAAGTGTACTAGGACACTGCAGAGGTTGGCCCATCCAACTCCCTCATTTGAGTTGACTTTGTTAAGGCCAGGTTCCAGTTTGTAGGAGAGCTAGGCTTCTCCCCGCATACCATGTGGCCTCCTTGAGGGCTCCAGTTCTGTTGAAGGATGTGGGGACTCCATCCCCAAGCCATGGATGGTCACTCCTGGTAAATACATCCTCTTCTCTAATGACAAATGGTGTCACCATCAGCATCTTTACTGCTTGGCAGCCTGTCTCCTCCACCAGTACATGTGCTGGCATAACATGTCCTGGGATCCCAGGCAAAACACGGAGAGGAGCTCCTCTTATGGTTTGATTGATTTTTAAGCAGGCCTCTTGTGGGGAAGGTTCCATTTTTTCTTTTTTTTTTTTTTTTAAGTTTTGGTTTTAGTAAGGATGGGGTCTCGCTGTGTGGCCCAGGCTGGTCTCAAATTCCTGGCCTCAAGCTATCCTCCTGCCTCAGCCTCCCAAAGTGCTGGGATTACAGGCATGAACCACCATATCCAGCCAGGTCCCTCTTTTTTGCAGGTCCTCCATGTTTGGGCATTGGGGGTGCCCACACATTATACACAACCAGCCCCTGCATCCTTGCTGTCCCCTATTTTTTGGGGGGGCAGATATCCCTAGAGACTCACTCACTTTTATGACCATTTAATTACTACTCATGTTTAATAATAAACAATTACGTGATCATCACTGACTTTCAGCTAGTGGGTCACTATGTATATACTTAGCAGCTGCTAAATCTTAGTCCTAGCAATGACGGTCCCGTATCCTCCCAAGTGACCGCGAGGACCTCAACAGCTTGGACATCTAATAAACAGCACTGCGGGGTTTTCAGGCCACCACCAGCCAGCTCTGGTCACTTTCAGACTTACCCTCTCTCTTTCAACCTGGCTGTGGCTGAGCCTCATGAGTTCTGCAAACCTCTGCTCATAGAAGTGAAGCAGCAGCACCAGGTACAAGCCTGTATTCACCAGCTCGTTTTGTGCCTACAAATGGAAAAGCAAGCTCTTCAGTTCATCTGTAAAATAGTCAAGATCTAAATTGTGGGGTGCAGGGTAACAAGGCTAAGAGGTGACAAGAACTGGGACAAGAGCCCAAGCTCCAAGGCAAGGGCTGTTCTTGGGGACTGGAAGACAGAGCAGGGTAGAGGCCAGGGCAGCCACTCCCTGGGGATTTTTTACTATCTAGTGTGGGTGCTCTGACAATGTTCCATTTTTCAGGCTCAATCCCGTTCCACATTTATTGAGCAGTTGTATACGCAAAGCCTTGAGCTGGATGTTGTGTGGAACACAGGGCAAAAAGCCTCAGCACTCCCTGCTGGGACTGCATCACCTGGTGTGGGGGAGAGAACTTCATCCGTAAACAGCTCCAATACAAGCTGGATGTGTCAAGTGCTACAACAGAGATGCACCGGGCCGTGTCTGTAACGTCCTCAGCAGTCACAGATGTCCCCTCATTTGCCCCCATCATGCCATCGTTCCCCAGCCCCTAAGCATTTGTCTTGATCTTGCGTACCACTTTTTGTACTTGTTAACGTTTCTGGTCTTTTCTTGAGGAATGGGCTGTGTTTTTTCTCGCTGGTGCTCAGAGCAGGTGCTACACAGGGAGGATGTGATGGTCTGGCTGGCCTCGGTGCTTCTCTGTCCTCAGCACCATGGGTTTTGCTGCAGAGAGTGGCTATGCTCACTCTAGACCCTTCATAGACCTTCCATACATCAGTGGTGTTGGGAACGTCTACTCCTTTCCCTCTACAGGGGAAGAAGTGGAAGGCCCTGTAAGTCCCCATCTTTCCCCTGAGTGGGGGTCTTGGGATGGGCCAGGCGGTGCTCGCAAAGCCACCCAGCCCCCAGGGACTAGGGTCCCCAGCAGAGGGCATGGACCTTCCATCACCCTTGGGAAAGGTTGCAACTGTGACTCTGTTGGCCCGGGATAACGGAGCGTGGGCATGAATGACACAGCATTCGGTGTCTCATCTGCCTTCCTCCTGCAGCAGTGCGGGCGTCACATCTCCCCATTCTCATTAGATCCCGGGCAGCTCAGGAGGTTGGCACAGAACTCGCCTCTCCCAGGACCAAGCAGCTGCCAGAAAAGGCGCAGAAGTTGAGCAAGGATGGATATGCACTTCCTTCTGAATCGGGCCAACTCTGGAGCTCGGTGACAGCTAGCCCTGAGGTCACTGCTGCAGGCCTCCCCACCATTCTACAGACCCATCTTCGAAGGCCCCAGTCCTCTGTCCTTAGTGGTTAGCCTCCTATTTTTAGCCTTTGGTCATGTTTTCTGTGCTCTGCTGACCTTGGCCTAGAGCAAGCAGAGAACAAGTTGCTTGTTTTCACTTTTTCTGCAGAGTCTCGCTGTCACCCAGGCTGGAGTGCAGTGGTGTGATCTCAGCTCACCACAACCTCCGCCTCCCAGGTTCAAGCAATTCTCCTGCCTCAGCCTCCTGAGTAGCTGAGATGACAGTCACCCAGCTAATTTTCTAATTTTTGTATTTTTAGTAGAGACAGGGTTTCACCATGTTGGCCAGGATGGTCTCGATCTTTTGACCTTGTGATCCACCCGCCTCAGCCCCTCAAAGTGTTGGGATTACAGGTGTGAGCCACCATGCATGGCCATTTTATTTTATTTTTGAGACGGAGTCTTGCTCTGTTGCCCAGGCTGTACTGCAGTGGTGTGATCTCGGCTCACTGCAACCTCCGCCTCCCAGTTTCAAGCAATTCTCCAGGCTCAGCTTCCTGAGTAGCTGGAATTACAGGTGTGCCCCACCACACCTGGCTAATTTTTATATTTTTAGTAGAGACGGGCTTCACCATGCTGGCCAGGCTGGTCTCAAAATCCTGACCTCAGGTGATCCACCTGCTTTGGCCTCCCAAAGTGCTGGGATGACAGACATGAGCCACTCTGCCTGGCCACTTTTTCTGTTTTAATTGCCTCCTCTTGCCCTCCCCGTGAGTCTGTGCCTGCCTCCGACTGTCTTGCCAGCCACCTCTTCTGAGAAGTCTTCCTCGCCTGGCTTTTAGCTCCTTCCCACCAACCAAGCCCTGACCTTTGCTTGTCTTCCTCGGACCCGGCTTCCTCCTGCAGAAGCTGCCCGTGGTTTTCTCACCAGTGCTCTTTGCCAGCCAGCCTTTGTGCTCGAGACACTCGGATGCATAATGGCAAATCAATCAGCTAGAAAATGGCTTGCAACTATCAGGTTTGTCAAAGCATTCAGGGAAATCATTTACTTTTTATGACTCAATAAGGCCCAGAGGCATGCAGATGGGAAAATATCCACTAATGTTTTCTGCAGATAATTTGAAAAGTCACTTCTAGCAGATTGTGTCTCTTCTCTGGTCCGTGGGAGGGAACCTGTCACAGGGCACCATCAATCTCGCCGGCTCAACAAAGGGGCTCAGCCCACCAATCAGAGCAGGCATGTGATAGTCAACTCCGAGTCAGCCTTTCTGCTCCCAAGCCACAAGTGGGAGGGATGTGTTAACTGAGTTCCACCTCGCTTGTCCGGAGAGGGCCAAATGAAGGAGGTTTTGGAGCAGTGCTTACTGGAGCCAGGGCCGATGCACCCCTCTATCCCCATCACATCGCACTTTGACTCCCACGTGGAGTTCCCTTTGTGCACCAGACTGAAGGGCATGGGGGTGGCATGAATAGGAGGGGACGGGGACATTAAAGCGGAGAAGGCATGTGAATCTGTGCACAAGCACTCCGGAGACCGCGGCCCACCCGCCAGTTGTTTTCTTCATTTTGCTAATATTCATTTAGGCCAAGAGACTTGCTACTGATGGAAATTCTCAATATGATCCACTTGAAGAAGATGACAGCCTGGCACTGAACATTCTATCAAGTCTTCAAATATGTTCAAGAGATGCTCCCAGGTATAAGGGTGATTTGGTGACTGCGTGTGTCTGAGGACATCTGTCCTTAGATGGAGCCAGGGCAGGCCTGGGCTTCAGAGCAGTGACAGCCTGAGGCTCACGGAGATGCTCCTGTGCAGTAGTGCAAGGATGGGAGGGGTGTGTTCCAATGCCCTGTGAGCTGGGGCCATGGAGGGCGCCTTACCTGGAAAGTGCGCCGGCTAAGGTGGGCAGTGTAGGGCCACCGGACACTGACTCTAGGCAGAGTTTTAATTGTGCAGGGACAAAGTGACTCAGTTTGTCATGGAGGAGAAGTAACCTCTGTTCTGCCTGTTTCTCCAAAGCGTGATAGTCAAATAAGCTAATATATGGGAGGTCACAAAACAGACACATCCTACAAGAGGCAAGATGTAAAGATAGGGTTCCAGGTAGACTGTGTGGGCGTAAGATCTGTGAGGGCAAGGCCTGCATCTATTTGTTCCTGAGTCCCAGTGCCTGGCCCAGTGCCTGGTATACTGTGTGTGCTCTATAAATCCATGCACAGATGAAGCAATGAGAAAAAAATGCATAATTGTGGTGGATCAGACAGTGACCCATTCAGCCACAACTTTTGAATCTAGTGGCTCCAGCTTTAACATGCATCAGAAATACTGAGCAGGCCTTTTCAAACACAGTTGCTGGGCAGTGTTCCTCCTATTCTCCCCTTCCCTCCTCTCCCCTCCCCTTCACTGTCCCCTTCTCCCCTTCCCTCTCCTGCCCTCCCTTCTCCTCTCCTCCTCTCCTTTGAGAGTCTCACTTTGTTGCCCAGGCTGGAGTGCAATGTGTGATCTCAGCTCACTGCAACCTCCACCTCCCAGGTTTAAGCGATTCTCCTGCCTCAGCCTCCCAGGTAGCTGGGATTACAGGCATGTGCCACCACTCCCAGCTAATTTTTGTATTTTTAGTAGAGACAGGGTTTTACCATGGTGGCCAGGCTGGTCTCGAACGCCTGACCTCAAGTGATTGGTCTACCTCAGCCTTTCAAAGTACTGGGATTACAGCTGTGAGCCACCGCATCTGGCCTCACTGCTCCTCCTTTCTTCCCTGCATTTCTGATTCAGTTGGACTGGAGTGGGGCCCAAGAATGTGTGCTTCTAACAAGTTCCCAGATGATGCTCACGCTACTGTTTTGGGGACCACCCATTTTTGAGAAGCACTGTTCTAAACTAAGGGCGAGCACTTGGTAGCTGCTGAGCTGAATCTGGCCTGTGGATGTGCTCTGGTTGGATGGAAGGAAGCAAGAAGGAAGGTAGAAAAGAACACGCCCCTCTTTGGCTCGGGAGGGCACTTTCCATTTGCCACAAATGCCACCACTCCCAGTGGTGGGACACCTGGACGATTGCCGTGATGTATTCTCTGCCTGGCCTGCGTGGTATTTGAGTGTGGAACCTGTTTTCTCCTGGTCCATTTTGGAGGCTGGAATGTTGTTTGGATCGCTGCATGCTGCTATCCAGGAGTTCTGCCCCCCACCCCCAAAATGAGTGCCCAACAGAATCAAATATGAGTCCTGCTTCCAGGTTAAAGCCACCGCTCACAGGGTGAATGCAGGCCTGTCTCAGCACCACCGGAGGAGTGAGGGGAGACGACGGATGCACTCCCACAGGCCAGACCTAGGATTAAACCGCCAGGTCCCTGCGGCCCCACAGCTGCTTTTGTCTAATCGTCCCCTCTCCTGATGCTTGTAGGACTTCCAAATCTAGCCACTTCAGGCCTGGTAACAAGCCTTGACCTTGGGGCCCATACTGGAATAATCTGAGTTCAGTGCCCTGTTAGCATCTGCCCTGCTCCCACCAGAAGGACGGAGCCAGGGAGGAAAACGTGCTCTGACGGGAGCCCCTCCACACCCTCAAAGGCCACCAACAGCGCTGACCGGGCCCCTAAAGGACACGCCCTGATCTGCGCTCAGGTCCCAGGTGAGGTGTCCGTCACAGATGTCACAGACTCCAAAAGGCCCAGTGGCTAGAAGGCCCACTCGTCTTTCCCCTTCCGCTTTTAAACTGCTCTGTTTCGAGAAGACCTCCCTTCTCTGGTTCAGAGAGCAAGTCGGATCCCGGCAGCTGTTCCCGCAGCAGCCTGCACGGTCCTCGTTTTGGCCT